AATGTGTTCTTGAATGGAGAATTGGAAGAAGAAGTCTTCATGACACTTCCCCTTGGTTTTTGTAAAAGTGATGAGAGAAATAGGGTGTAAACTTAAAAAGTTACTGTACGGCTTCAAACAATCACCAAAAGCATGGTTCACTAATTTGCAAAAGTGTTAAGAAGTCAAGGATATCAACAAAGACAATTAGATCATACTTTGTTTTACCAACTATCTAAAAAGGGGATGAAAACAATCTTAATTGTTTATGTTGATGATAATGTAGTGATTGGAGATAATATAGTAGAAATCGAGAGGCTTAAGAAAAGCCTAGCCACAGAATTTGAGTAGGGATGGCAATTCGACTCGTCAGTTCGGGTCGTCCGTAGCTAAGCTTGGGAAAAGCATGAGCGGCCGAGCTCGAGCCGGCCCGCAAGCCTAAAAAAATTTAGGCAACAGCTATTTAAAGAAGAAAAAAAGCGAGCTTGCCCGACTCTACCATAAAGGCCCGAGCCAAATGCTCCGGTCGAACAAAATTTTTTTGGCTTGGCCTGGCTCAGGCTCAAAAAAAGCTCGCTCACTTTATCCGAGCTAGCTCGGCTCATTGACATCCTTAAATTTGAGGTAAAAAACTTGGGACATATGCAATACTTCCTAGGAATGGAAGTGGCCAGATCAAAAAAAGGTATCAGTGTTTCACGAGGAAGTGCATACTTATCTCCTTATTGAGACGGTATGCTTGAATGCAAGCCAATTGATACACCAATGGAGGTAGGAAGAAAGGATAAAATCACAGGAAAGTCAGTTGAAATGGAGAAATATCAGCGACTGGTTGGGAAATTAATCTATCTTTCTCACACTAGACCAGATATATCTTTCTCACACTAGACCAGATATTGCATTTGTTGTAAGTGTGGTAAGTTAACATATGCACTCTCCAAAGGAAGCTCATTTAGAAGTAGTGTACAAAATCTTCAGATATCTCAAAGGTACCCTTGGAAAGGGACTATTCTTCAAGAAAAATGAAAGGAAAGATGTAGAAGTTTTTACTGATGCAGACTGGGCTGGTTCATGAAAAGATAAGAGATCAACTACTGGCTACTGTATCTTCATCTGGGAAATTTAGTAACTTAGAGAAATAAGAAGTAGAATGTGGTAACCAGAGGTAATGCTGAGGCTGAGTTTAGAACGCAAAGGTTTGTGGATAAAGAAATTATTGGATAAATTACAGATTATGGTAAATCTTCCAATCAAACTCTATTGTGACAACAAAGCAGCTATTAATATATCTCTCAATCCAGTCCAATGACAAACACTTCATCAAAGAAAAGTTGAAGAAGGGATTATATGCACGACTTATGTACCTACCAAAAAACAAATTGTAGATTTCCTCACCAAAGGACTGCCACAACAAAATGATCCAACTTGAGAGGGAGTGTAGAAATCCTATAATTATTTGTAGAATTATGGGATGATTTAATAACCATATTTAGAGATTATAAATATCTTTCTTTCCATGTTTAGATAGTTACCCTTTTTTTTTTCTAATTCCCATTTGTATATTATATATTGGTGCATAAGTGTGTAAATATGACCAGGGCTGGTCCTGTGATTATTGAGGCCTAAGGCGAATTCCATAAATTAGGCCCCTAGACGAAATCGACGTAAATGCAAAACTCAACGGTATATCATTCGACCTATTGCTAACTTAAAACTAACATTAAAACAACCATCAAATATATTATAGAAAAGATTTATATTATAATTTAACAAAATCAACCATGTTTGAAACAATTAGTTAAATAACCAATCATATAAGCAGACCAGACCGCAATTATATAAGCCGACAAAGTTTCAAACATTTTCAATATCTTCAATAATAAGTTAGGGCATGACATTGCTTACCTGAGAATCGAAATTTCAACGAAAATTGTGAAATTACACCCTTGACAATTTCACCGTCACAGCTCACAAACTAGAAATAAAAATTTAAATAAAATCAAAGATTTTAATCATAGAGTGAAGGAACTTGTGGCGAGTGTGGAAGTAGTAATTAAGAATCAGCATAATTGACTAAAAATTTATATACTACTTTAACTTACACATCATCAAATTTAAGTAAAATTAAATTTAGGGCATTGTCGCATTGTAAGAAGTTATCCAAATAAATTGATTCAATTCCTTCAATTAATACCGTAATAGATCTGCATATGATTTGACAATCATACATTTATAGAAGAAATTCATAAATGTGTCTTAACATGCCTAATGCCTTAGGCAAATACAAATTTATGAACAAAACAATGGATAAAATATGGTTTGAAGTGAACAGATCATGGTGTCCAACTGGTAAATGGTAATCATGCCAAAATACCAACAATCAAATGAATTATATACAATCCTACCTAATTCGCTAGTTTCCCTGAAGAGAAGACACTGCACTTTTATTAGTTTATATTTGAGTATTTGACATTTTGACTCTTCATTTTCCTTCCCAGACAGAATCCCAGTTTTCATGTACCATAGGAACCAGATGAAGTCACCACTAAAAATCTAAAATCAAATCTAACAATCACATATATATAATAAAGACAACTCAGTTGATAAAATTCATCAAATCAATGGAAAAAGTTTAGAACCGAACCGAAGAATCAAGAATGGAGACAAGAGTCAAGACAACTAGAGTTACCCTTTACTAATACTAGACAAGGAGTTGCTGCCTTGCTGGAGCTGCGGAGCCTAGAGGCAAACGACGGCGTATGGGGGAAGGCGGACTGGTGGTGGCGGAGTGAGTGTGAGTCAAGTGACTGGAGTTATAGAGACGAGATGAGGCAACGATTAAGTCATTGTTGATGACTTCTCTCAACAAACTACTTTTATAATCACCGGGCTGGATTATTTTGAACATCATATTAGCATTTTTAATGTTGATATGAGTTTAGTGTTTAAAGAAGAAGCGAATCAATTAGTTATAAAAATAATCATTTGAGGTAAGCAATTAGTGATATTAATTTTGAAATTGGATGACTCAATATAATAATGATAAAAATAAACAGTTCAACTTTGTGCAAAGAATATCAGTAATTTCCACCAGTAAAAAAAAAATTAAAATAATTTTAAATCAAACAAATTTATATTGAAAAAATTTAGAATAGAAAAAAATTTCTCTTTTGAAGGAGAAAAAAGAAGTAATTGAAAAAATTAAATTCAATCACAAAGAGAAAAGAATTTTCAAAAAATTTATCTATAATACAAAAAAAAAATGTAAAAAAATATATTAATAAGTAATTTCCACCAGTAGAAAAATTGAAATAATTATACATTGAACAAATTTTAAATGGAAATATTTTTTTCCTTTGAATGAGAGAAAAGCAATAATTAGAAAAATGGAAAGATTCTCTTCGTCCACAGAGAGTATTTTTTCCTTATTTTTTAATTAAATTTTTTTGTTCATATTATAAGTTTTTTTACTTTGGATTTACAATTCTTTTTAATTCTTTTCTCTTTATGATAAATTTATTTTTTTCAATTTTAATTAAACAATATTAATAAATTCTTTATTTCATTTTTGTTGTTTAATTTTTTTGTTTAATTACATAATATTTTTTTTAATTTGTTTTGTTTATATTATAAATTTTGTTTTCTTTTTAATTCTTTTCTCTTTATAGGCTGAACACATTTTCTTTCCTTAAAGGAACTACAAATGGATGATACATGCGTCTTTGAACGACTGAACAAATCAACAATCCTCTTTAAAAATGCAAACAACAACAGAACTGTAAACACTACTAACTGAACCAAAAAGACTTCAAACATATCCAAAGCAAAATCTTGTAAGCCTCATTATATATAAAAAACAATGATCGAAAAATTTAAATTTCTTAAGTAGATAAGGGTAAAGAAAGAAAAACCTAACTAACTTTTACACACTAAACAAAAAAAAAACATATATTACATTAAATAGAGCCAAAGAAAATAAGAAATAAATCCACAAGAAAACAAACATCCAACAAAAACATAAATTTCATAGCCATATCCAAGAAAAAAATAAAACTCTAGCTAGATTTTCACATATATACAGAGACAAGAATATACCTCACATCTAGGTAGAGAAAAATGAATCAAGCTAAATTTTCATCTATGCACAGAAAAAAAACTACTTACCTTAAATAAATCTAAAAAGACTTAAAAACAGAAATACAATCAAAATTTTTTTTGCAAGAACATACCCAAAGATAATCGTTACAAATTCAAGTTTTTTTTATTACTTATAAATAACTTGAAGTGATTTTTTTACTTATAAGTAACTTTTTACATTCTAGATAGTGTAATCTTTTTATTAATATTTAATTTAAAAAACTAAATATATCTAAATATTTAACTTAAAAAATTTTAAATTAATATTTTTTTACTTATAAGTAGTGTGTGAAAATGAAAAAAATATTGCAGTGGAAGTGATATTGCAGTAAAACGGTGTGTGAAAATAGTGAAATGGCTTGTGAAAAAAATGTTGCAGTGTAATTGAATAGAATAATTTATTGTTGCCAAACCAATTCCAAATGAATTTAATGTAAAAACCTATATGACAAAAATGAACAGTAAACCTCACATTCTCTCTTTTAAGATAATGATAGATGAAGGTCATTTTCCGCTATTATTTCTCTATTTTAGCTATTGTAAAATCCATTTTTTCACGATGATTTTATTCATAAACTTTATGATGTATATGTTTTAAACATGTCATTTAAACGAATTCATTGGTTCTTAAAAGTATTATGTTAAAATATTATCGTTTTGTTTTACTTGTTTCCAAACAAACTATGTGTTTACATGTTCCAACCTATATACCTTCTGCCTATGTTTGGCCACCATTTTTTTGAAAGTTCACTTTTTCAAAACTCATTTTCCAATTAAACATTTTTCTCTAAAATTATATTACATGTAAATCGAAAATTTTTCAACAACACATTTTTCAAAAAATCACTATTCTAAAACTCATTTTCTCCCAAATTCCCTTTAAAATGGAGCCCAAACTAGGGCTTAATTATGAAACATCATCGAACAAAATCATTTCCACTGTTTACTCGTTTTCAAATATTGAAGGGCTTGTCGACACGTATTAGGGTTGAAAGTGAATATTAGTCGACAAAGTCTCCATTTTTGACCAATGTTAAAGAGATTTTCCTGAAGCCCGTATTAATGGTCACCATCTTCTTGGCATTGTAAATGACATCCAGTGTTCTTCATTTGCGAAAATATTATCTCATTTGCAATCTGGAAATACAGATAACGTGGCGAATATAAATTCAGCTGTTGAGCTTAAAGAGGCAGGGATTTCCTTCAATAAGTCGGAAGATATTAGTTCATTTCATATTGAATTCAATGAAAAAGCAATGATCATTCCAGAATGGGAAATTTCTGATTCAACAGAATCATTGTTCCGAAATCTGATGGCATATGAGTACTACCTCACAGGCAGTCCTCAAAAATATGTGACCGACTATGTATTCTTTATGCATTGTCTCGTCCATTCCCCTGAAGATGCAAAACTTCTGCGCCGTTGCGGAATTATTAGCAACCTTTTGGGGAGCGATGAAATGGTTTTTCATGTAATTCACGAGCTAGGCAAGAATATCATAATTTCTGATGAGTTTTCGTATTCTAATATTTTCAACATTGTGAACCATCATTGTGGCCACAGAAGGAATAGATGGACGGCAATATTAAGGCGAAGATATTTCAACAGTCCATGGGCACTCATTTCAGTATTTGCTGCTATTTGCTTGTGCTTGCCATCATATAGGCTACGTTTGCTATTCTCTCGTATTGTAAGTTACTCCCTAAGTCTTGCATATTTTTAACCAAGTATTGCAGATTTTAGCCTCTATTCGGCATATTTATTAATGATTTATAAATAGAAATTGGTCTCATGAAATATGTAAATAATAATGACTAGTAGTTATGAATGTGTGGTTGAAATTAATATTTGACTTTGCCTTTGAATTCATAAACTTATATATAAATTGTATCCAAACGTAGGCTTAGTAAGGAAGGACTCATTAAGCTATTAGGAAGTGACCTTGGATTGTTTCGGTAAAAAGGGAGCTTTTACCTTTCTTAGAAATATATTACGGATACATCTACTCTGTGACAGTCACTTGATCTACTAAGAGAAATTTATATTTAATTCCAGTTGTTTAACTGCGTACATGTTATTGCAGACAATGATCTCAAGAAGGGGAACTGATTCTAAGTATTTGAAGCTAGCAACAATGTATGGTAACTCCAATTACTATCAACTTCAAGGATGACACAGAGCCTAGAATATCCTGAATTATATTAGTGTTTGAATTTATATGATGCCCAGTACATTGAATGAATTCTCAAAAATCAAGATTCAGCTACATTCTACTGAGTTTTAGTGTAAGGAACAGTGCTAAACCAGGTTTCTCTTTAGTTGTTCTAAGCAGATCTTGAATGTTTGCATTTGTTCTTTCTTTGCTCTTAGTTTCATATATGTTTTCTAGGAAAGGTTCTTACGTGATTATATTCACTGAGCCATTGAGCTTTAGACACTATAGTTCTGTACTGTACAGGATTAAGCGGTAATTCGAGTTAAATCATCCGTTCACGAAAATTGAGTTCGCATTCTTGGTTGTTTTATAAGATTCCAACCTATCCCAACCTACTTCATTGCAAGAAGATGTATTAAAATTTAGAATGTTTCTAACAAAGGCAACCTTGACTTCTGGGTGGGAGATTGGCAAAAGACCGAGGCTAAAGGATATTACTTCACAATTAAAGCACAAATCAAAAGTTTCGGATAAACCTATTCAATCCTCTCTAGGTTGCTCTAATCATAGCACAAATCATATATTGTAAATCCACTCGAAACGTCATAAAGAAGTTTAGATATCAACGTTAATTCTAGCTTCCATTTCCAAGCATTGCAAAAGGAATTTATGAAGTAATTTTGTGTTCGAGAAGGGTCTAGTACAAGAAGTTGAGATCATAAACATAAGATCTAATTTTGTCAAGTTCAGTATAGTAAATATGAAATAAACGATAATAATACGTAATGACGGAAAGAGATTCTGAGCTGATTTCTTCATTCATGAAGCAAGAGCCCATGTGCATTACGTAAACAAATTCCCAGTAACTTATTTTTCCTCTTAATTAATTCTTTTTCAACTTTTTCATTTTGTACCTTTGTGATTTTGTTGAGATTCTATTGCTAGGTACTTGTTGGGACAGCATAATCTCGAGTTTATTTAACATATAATTTGTCTAAGATATGGTAGACCACTCAGTGGTTCATTTGAACGTCTCGGAGCCTAAAGACCCCATCACAAATCAATATAGATGGAAAGAGGAAAAAAGAATTGAAATTGGAGTATAAAGACCCATTTGTCATTTGACATAGCTTTTGAAAAGTTGAAAACTATTTGTAAGAATGAAAAGCTGCGTTTAAACATGTTTAAATGCGTTTTTGAAAGAATTTTATCTGGCAAAATGAGCTTTTAGAGGTAGTTGGCTTAAGATAGTGTATTTAGGTATATTTCACTTCTCGAATACACGAGTGATTTAGGTTTCGCATAGTTTTTAACCGGCCCTCTTCCATCTCTTTAGGCCAAGTATTCTAGCTCTGGTTGAGTGTGCAAATTGGGACTAGATTTGGCTCATCTTGTCAACACAACATCTCAGCTAGATTCAGAAGTCAACATATATCTTACTATCTCATGATTATTCAGATCTAGAAAAATTTTAACAAATCAACTACATGGATAGGTCAGAGCATGGTGGATAGCAAATTTTTCTCCAATCATGGCCTCATGTAGTCGCTAAATTTTTTGAGTACAGTTTGTTAGAAGTTTTGACTCAAATTAATTTATTTGTATTAAATAAAACGAATGTTGGAAGATAAATTTTATTTATTTATTTATTTTTGGTAGAATCAACAAATTCAGTAACATTTTGAGGTCCTACCGAAACACACAATAGGGGTTCAGCATTGCCCCTACTCGATATAGTATCAAAGAATGTTTTCAAACAAGGGATGTGAAAAACCTTACCTCCTTAAGTACATGGGGAATTAAATTAATGTAGCTTACCGTTGTACTTATTGTTCAAAATGATATTATAATGGTGACTTGGTAGTTGGGCCACATTTTGGGCCTTATTGTGGATGAATCAAGTGAATGCGTATAAAAAGGAAATTGGTGGAGGCATTTTTTGCCCATGCGATCCGATGGAGTCCACACGCGGGAATTGAGGCCTTTTCCCTAATTCCCTCATGCCATGCGATCGCATGGGTATGAAACTAACCGTTATGGCTTATTTTCTAGTCTGTTTTGGTGTCTTTTCATTAATGTATTCCAACTTTTCGTGAATAATTGGCTTGATTTCATGGTGTATTATTGAAATACTATAAATATGAGTTAGTATTCCATTCTCAATCAATGAATTAACCCAAGAAATCCATATTGTTACTTCAAATCAATGAGATCATATCAAACACTTTCAAGTTTTCTCCAAGTTCATTTTGAAAAAAATTACATAAACTTTAGTATTCTTTCTTTAGGCTTGATAAATCTTAACTATTTGCCATTTGAATTATTGAAAACATTTGAAGAGGAGGCAAATATCATTAGATGACAACGTTCATCAAAGTCTTGCAAAGCTATTTTATTTGGTGTTTCCATCTTCATGTCCATTGTTTTCCAACACTTTTCTGTATCAAAAGCATGATGTTATAGAAACTCATATCGAGTTAGAATTGCTTTGCCAATAGTAATTCATCCACAGAAATATGAATGATTCAAACCTAGAGGGAAAGAGCTAATAACATCGTGCTAAATAAGAGACGAAAAATACTCACTAAAAATTTAATCCATTTTGACGGAAATGATTTAACTAAATCTCACATGTGAAATTCGACATGTATGAGTCATATGGTGATCTTATTATTGCTCTAGACAAAGCAATTTGATACGCAGTAAAGTTTAAACCTTAAAATAAATAAATAAATAAATAAAATCATCGTTAAACCATGAAAAAAGTAAAATTATTTTTAATATTGTATTTTTATCTTGTGTGAATATTTATAAACATTTTGTAAATACATATAGGCTGGTTTAGCGTAACGTCTGAGAAGTCAAAATGAACATTTGAGAGACACGGATTTTTTTTTTTTAACCCATTTGACTAAATTTATGACAGTGTTTCTTTTAGTAGAAAAGTTTTATAGGAAGTCAATCTAACGTGACTTTCTCCAAAAACATTTTTCGAATAAAAAGCACTTTTGAAAATTAGTTTTCAAACAAAAATTAATATAATTTTCTAAGGGCTTCTACAAAATGCAAAATTCATGTTGAACAGGCCCATTATATTATTAATTGGACTTTTATCTAAAAACATGCGCGAATAAATTTTATTAAATTGAGAAAATTAAAATTTACAATGTTCTAATTTACAAAAGAATCTTAAATATTGAGTAGCCTTTATGAATAAGATCATATGATCTTAAAAAAATTGGCGATATTTGTCAAACAAATTTAACATTGGTGCAGGACTATGTTGCAACAAGATGGTATCGGGCTCCTGAATTGTGTGGATCATTTTTCTCAAAGGTACAAATCGTTTCCCCTTTCTCTTCTTATTATAAATACCGACTTGTAGAAAGATTTGATTTCCTCGTGCCTTCATTAACTTGCAATTGATATATGGAGCATTAGTTGTATTCTTGCTGAACTTTTTGACAAGAAAACCTCTTTCTCGTGGAAAAAATGTGGTTCATCAATTAGATCTCATGACTGATCTGTTGGGTACACCGCTGCCAGAAACCATTGCAATGGTGTGTGCTTGTGGTAGTTCATTTTATTGAGGGAAGAGTGTCATAACTTCAAACATTTAATTATCATTTTTGTATGTTTACCTATTAATTCAATTCACAGAAAATATATAGAAAGTGGTAACTAAGAATGAAGAAGTTAAGGGCCTGATTTACTTTGAAGCATCAGAAATTAGAGCCATAGCACTAGGATATTTTGTCTTTACCAATTAATTTATGATTGTTTTTATTCTTTTTGTTTAGCTAACTGAAATTGAAAATCAAAGTAAAGGTAAGATATTTTCCACAAAAGGGGGTGTAATTAAGGGAAAAATCTTGGTGGATTATGTAAGTACGGAAAGGGAAGAGATTCAGTCAATTTCTGCTGCTTCAAATTCTTGAAATAAGATTACCAGAACCTGGATTCTTTTCATTTTATTTGCATTAGAGGGCTGTTGAAAGGATTTTGTATCTTTGCTTTCGTAATTTGGATTTTTCAGTCCTTCGTTTGAAAGGGTGGTCATAGAATTACAGAAGAGAACCTTTTTTTTCGTTTCAAGGTACTACAGTTCTATCATTTTTCTTTCTTTCTTTTGTCTTTTCTCTACAGCGTGTGGTAGATTTTTCTTGATCATGATAGAAGATGAGAATTGGATAGTCTTGTGAAAAAAATGTGCTCCAGAAAGTTTTCTTTAGTTTGTCTTTTTAACCATGAAGTTTTATACTAGCTTCATTTTCTTTATACATAGGTCATATAAATATATTTGGGGGAGAAATAAAATGTTGAACCATTTGATAATTATGTTTTATAGATCATATATATTTGTGAGAAATCTTATGAATATTTCTGTACCAAGTAGTGCAAGAACACTCAATCATATAGCATAATTTGATAAAAGTGTTGAGAAATTAAAGGGATGGAGGCGAAGCTAATAAGATTAAAAAGTTTGTTGTAGTTTCGCATTGATATAGCATGGCGAAATACCATAAGAATTGGAAATCTGTCCCTAATTAGGTTCTTCATTTGTATATTCTTTATCTGTTCTTCTGATCAAGTACACCCATCACTTAGTCTATCACTCATTTCTGTGAAGATAATAAAAACTCTTTTCATTTTCTGTATAGATAGGCTGAAACTCAGAGCCCAATGGATTGTCTCATCTGCACAGAAGTGAAAGCTGTATACACATCTTGTACAAGTGCTACGAAGATATCACCAGTTATAGTAACATGAAGAATGTTGCCTTCTCTTGACATCGATTTTATGTGCGTTCAATTGAATTTCTATCTTCCCAATTTCAGCATTGCCATTTCTTAATTTTTTGAAATTCTTTCTTTCTTCTTCCATTAAAGAAAAGAAAAGTTGGTGCACCATGTAATGTAACTACTTGAAAAACTATGATCCTCTGCTAATGTTTTCCAGAGTATGTGTTATATTCATTGTCTTAGAATATGATCACATGTTGTTGTCTTTTTTATTTTTTTATTATTATTATTTTTTCAGTATTATCCTTATGAAAATTGACTAACTATTATGTCACTTTCATTTTAGTCTTAGTTCAATATTATCCTTATGAAACTTGACTAATTATT